CCCCCAGCTCCCTCACAGCATCCCCAGCTCCTCACAGGCCCCCCAACTACTCACAGGACTTCCAGCTCCCTCAGAGGGGCCCCATCTCCTCACAGGGGCACTGGGTCTCCCTGGGACCCCCAGCTCCTCACAGGGCACCAGCTCCCCACAGGCCCCCCAGCTCCCTCACAGGGGCTCCCAGCTCCTCACAGGAGCACCAGCTCCCTCACAGGCCCCCCGTCTCCCCCACTTTTCAGCCCAAAGCAAAACCATGCTCCCATGCGCCTGTGCCTGTCACCCCTGCGCTGCACCCTGTGCACAGACTGGGCCCAGGCCTCCCCACTTGCTGCCCAGATCCCGGCTTGGGCCAGGTGCCCCAGCCCCAGGGGATGGTGTCAAAATGGTGCCAGGTCAGCTTTGCACCTAGTGCGGGCTGGCGCCGGGCGAAAGGCTCCCCCGGTGCTGGGGAAGCCGCCCCGGGGCGCCCAGGGCTGCTATGAGCGGCCTGCAGGTCGAGGAGTTTAATGATTAAGTTCTCCTGGCACCGCTTATCTTCTCAGTTTACCTGCCCTTGCAGCCCTGGAGTCGCAGCGCTGTCTGCTGGGTGCGCGGATGGCAGCGGCCAGATGCAGCCTCTCCTGTCCTGCCGTCGCGCCAGGGCGCTACAAAATCACCCGGTACCAAAAGGGCTCTGCCAGGCAGAGGAGCCAACACGTGCAGACTGAAGCAGGGCTGAACTCTGTGTGCTGTTACTGAAGCAAATTCTCAGAACGCTTCATGTTTGCTGTCCTGTTTTCTGCTTGTTGTAGCAAAGGGGTAGATCTGTACAGGACAAAACACACACCTGTTCTAGGAGGACGGGAGTCAGGATGAGAGTGGGACTGCGCGACCTTGTGGCTTTTTGGTTTACACACCACTTCACTGAGCAATGAGGAAAAGATTTTCTTGAAAAGATCTGAAATTAAACATTAAATACCCTATCTGCCCTAATTGTCAATGTGCATTGCCTTTTTGAAAAACACAAACTAATTTTATGTCAATTGCACAAATACTATCCATATTGATGGATATGGGATTTTTTGCTGTATATGATCTACCCACGTTACTCGTATCATGGAAGACTGTTGAGAAGAAAAGAGAAACTGTTAATATTAACTCCCTCCATCACTGTAGCTAGTAAAGAGTAATTATGGCATTTTTCTTTTCGCGACTTAGAGCTGAAAATCCTAATAGTGCAACAAAAAAAAAAGAAATATTGATTTAATTTCGGCAAAAGCAGATGCAAAATGCTGCCCCTGGGAAGGAAGAACCCGTTGAAGCAACACAGGCTGGACGCTTGCAGCGCTCGGAGCAGCTCTGCAGAGAGATCCTGGGCCTTGGTGGGCTGTGAGCTGGGCATAGGCCCGGCTGTCAAGGGATATGGCTATGCCACACTGCTCGGCACTCGTGAGACCACATCTAGATACTGGGTCCAGTTTTGGGCCCTTAGTACAGGAAAGACATGGATAAACAAAAGCAAGTTCGGTGGAGGGGCACCAGGCTGGTGACGGCTGGAGTAGCTGTCCTGCCCTGCAGGCTGAGGAACACGGCTGGTCCAGCCTGGAAAAGGGACATCTCCAGGGGGACCTAACAGCAGCCCCCCAAAACCTATGGGAAGGTCATCCAGAAGATGGAGCCAGGCTCTTCCCAGTGGTGCACGGCAAATGAGAGACAACAGGCCCAAGCTGAAACAAGAGAAGTTCAGATTGGATATAAAGAAAAACCTTTTTCCCTCCATGAGGACAGTGAAGCAGCCGAGCAGATTGCCTAGGGACCTTGTGCAAGCTCCCAGTGATCCCCCAGTGGGACAAAGCCCTGGTCTGGTCTCATGGCTGACCCTGCTGCGAGCAGGAGGGTGGGCTAGAGACCTCCTGAGTCTGAATTGTCTTGTGATCCTGTCAGTTTAAGATTTTAAAACTTCGTTTTCAGCAAATGTTTTTTTTTTTCCAATTGAGCTTTATTAAAACCAATTTGATTTGGTTTATCACTTAAGCTTGAGTGTGTCTTTTAAAATTAAGTTAGTGTGGAATTTATATGATTGCTGAGCTTAGATCTGAAGCTGTTTGTCAGAAAACCAAGCAACAGTAAAGCAGATTTTCCCATGGTGAATGGATTAGGTCTAAATATTACTGGATAGATGAGTCTACATGTCTTTTCAGTCACTGACATCTCCGCCTAGGCTACCAGTTAGTATTTGTTTTCCCCTAAGTAACAGTTTGAGACCAGCACCAAGTCATTTCATAATGGCCATGGAGAGCCACCTTGAGGTAGACGTCACATCTATTGCAGGCCTGAGCTGGATATAATCCAGAAGTTTACAAAGATTTCTGCAACCTGTTGCCATCACTGCTGCCTTCCCTGAAGTTACATCATTCCCTTTTAAATATGTTGTGTTATTTAAGTCCAGACTACAGAAATGTCCTTTCTAGTACTTCATTGGGAATCCTAGATCAAGCGGTGCATGGCTTACAAATTCTTATTTGATTTTTGACACTAACAGTGTGTGGTATATACTGTCTACTCAATAGTTTTCAGCCTTTTCGAGTACCCTAATTTCATGAGTATGCCTCAAATTAAGCACTTTAGTGGTTGGCTGTGTTTCTCCTTCCAGTTCTTTCTAGTTAGTGTCCTGGGTATTAATATAAATGACAGCATCAGGCCCCTGCAGTCATCTGCAGTGAGCTTCCATTTTAAATTGATGACAACAGCAGGGTCTGTCAGATACATCTGACTTCTTCGAGAACATTTCTCTGTTGATATCTACTAAGTTCTCAGAAATGAGGAAGCAAATATTTGTTCTAACTATTAATTCTCAAGTCTAACGATTCTTTCATTCTACTGACGTGCCTAGACATTCCTCCTACACTGAATTTGCTTGAGCAGGGCATAAACTCTCACTTCATTTACTTTTAAAAATGTATGAAAAGTTTTCAGAAAATTATTTTTAGGTCTGTATTTCTGATATAGCAATTATATCCACTTTTATTAGAATGAAGCTTAGCATAATGTGTACAGCTCATTCAAAAAGAAAAAATGCTTCATAAGTCTTTTCTTTTTTTTTTTCCCTAAATAAATAAAAAAAGGAATGCAGAAGAATAATTAGAGTGATAAATAGCTGCTTCAGATCTCATGTGAAATCGGGTAGCCACCTTAAATGTTAAAAACTTAATTAATGTATCTGTTAGGGGTATTGCAGAGCCTATTTATGATGTACTGCAGCTTCAACGCACAATGAAACAGGTGGAAAATCCAGAGCTGATTCAGTGCTTTGAAAGATGCTGATTGCAACTATGACTTCAATGAGTTTCCCGTTACAGTGAAAATAAAAGTTACTTAAAATAGATCCAAATTAGCAGGCGAAAGCATCTCATAGTGAGTAACAGTGCCTATGTAGTAGTATATACATATGTAAGTAATAAACGAACTTATGCAAAAATATTAACCCCTTCACATGCAGCCTCCCAGTTTTGGCTTAAAAAAGCCTTGGCCATAACACAATTATGTTTCAGTAGCCGGGCACTCGAGTTAGGGCTTCCTGTCATCGTAGTTCTGGGCTTGCTCCATTACTCCAAAATCTCATCGCACGTACAGTGCCGAGGACCTCAAAACATCACTAGACGCTTGATCCAGCTTATGTCAAGTGACTATATCGACACCAGACCCGCGGCATAGCAAAGGCTGCGTTTCCGGGAGGTTTTGTCTTCCATGAGGAAGGAGAAGGCATGTGCCTGGGAAGCGCTGGGGACCGAGTGTTTCCATCCTCACAGCCAGGGAGGGCACGAGGAGCAGAGCAGGGCAGGGGCCGGGTGGGGAGAAGGGCAAGGGCAGCCGGGGCCAGGGCGCACAGCGGAAGGAAAAGCCACTGGCAAGCTGAGAGGGAGCCAGTGTCAGCCAGGGCAGGGGGGAGAGCCCTGCCTGTCCCAGTCCCCTCTCCACTCTGGAAGACATCATGCTCCACTGGCACGATGCCTTTGAAGTCTGATGAACAACTCCAGCTTAGGCGGAGGCCAGGCTCTGATACTCATGTTCTTGGTCATTTCCTCCTATGACTTTAATACAACCATAAAAAAAGAAAAAGAAATCAGATATCCTTTTTATTTTTCAGCATTATTGACTGCCAACCACTGTGTAACGGTGCTGCAAGTTTTCATCTGAAAGTGGAAGGTACATCCTCCATTATCATGGGACACCTGAGCACACTTAGGTGGACTTAAGTGTCCTCAATATACTTTTGAGCCAAATACTGAACATCAAAATTTACTTCTATAAATACAGGTCAATACTATCCATCCATTTTTTGGAAAGCTGATAGACAGTCAGTCACTGGAGCATCAGCT